TTGTTATTTCTGCAAAAGTTAAATGTTTATTTAAATATTTCTTAATTCTTCTTACTCATTAATACTAGTTCTCTCTTTACAAAAACACTTCGGAAGCTCTTTTTTCAGCAGTTTTTCTTGAATTGTTTTCATCACAAACTGAAATAAATATATATGAGAGGACAGCCAAGTGGGAACTGAATTGTTTCTTGTTTTTTTTAAAAAAAAAATTTTTATTTTTTTATTTTTAAATTTAGTTTAATTTAATTTATTTTAATTTAATTTATTTTATTTATTTTAAATTAAATTAAATTAAATTATTTTATTTTATTTTATTTTATTTTAAATTATTTCTTATTTTATCTTTGCTGTAAAACTGTAAAATAGCGCATACCGTAAAATCTCGACGCGCAGGGGTGAAATTACAATTTTTTTCGGCCCGAATTAAGCTTAATTCGGGCTAAGATTCGAAGTAATGCCCATGCCCACTATCTTTTCTCTGTAGATAGGGTTGTTAAATTACAGTAATTTACGTAATTTTGTGTAAGCCTGTGTAAGATTCGGTAAATTGAAATTTCATATAATTGTAATTTTGAACACATGATATTTAGTTTCTGATATCAAATTTTCAGCGATTTAGAAATTACATTTCAGATCATACATTCAAATTAATTAATGTAATAATGCAGGCTGAAATTTTGTAAACCTAGTACTTTATATATGACGTTTGAAAGTTTATATGAAAATCGCTTTTCTGTAACTTACATAAAATTACAAGTAATGTAAAATTGTAATTTATATAACACAACCCTATCTGTAGAATACTTAATTTTTTCTAAACTACTAGGCATAGGGAGTTATTTCTAATTTCGGCCTGAATTAAGCTTAATTTAGGCCGAAATTCAAAACCACACCACATCGCGTTATTTCGTGGTTATACGGATTTTTAATTTTTACTTTTTTATATGTTCATTTTACCGGGGGACGCAAAGGGGAGGGGAGGGGTGATGTTAACCGAAAAATTAACTTCAAACGGCCTAAATTCGACGGACTTTTTTATTTGATTCTATAGGTCTGTAGAAGCAAAATAAAAAATTCATCGAATTTGGATGGGTGGTCCCTGAGAGATCTTCGCTCAAAGCTTATAAAAACTTGGCCGCAGCTATTTTGATAAACGGTTTAATGTTTTCGAAACTTTGAACGAAGATATCTCAGCAATCATCCAAATTTGACGAACTTTTTTTATTTTAATTCTACAGATCTGTAGAAACAAAATAAAAAAAAACCATTCATCGAATTTGGGTGAGATATCTTCGCTCAAAACTTTATAAAATTTGGCTGCAGCTATTTTGATGGTTTAATGTTTGCAACCACCTAGCAGAATTTGACGGACTTATTTTATTTTAATTCTACGAGTGTGCAGAAACAAATAAAAAAAATTCTTGAATTTGGATGGGTGGTCTTCGCTCAAAGCTTTATAAAAATTTGGTCGCGGTTATTCTGATAGACATTTTAACGTTTTCAAAGCTTTGAGCGAAGATATCTCAGCAACCACCTAGCCAAATTTGATGATTTTGATTCTAGAGATTTGTAGAAACAAAAAAAAAATTATCGAATTTAGATGGGTGATCGCTGAGATATCTTCGCTCAAATCTTCATAAAAATTTGGCCGTAGCGGTAGCTGTTATTTTAATAGACGTTTTAATGTTTTCAAAACTTTGAGTGAAGATATCTCAGCAACCACCTACCCAAATTTGACAAAAATTTTTTTATTTTAATTATACAGAGCTAAATAATTAAAATAAAAAAATTTTGTTAGATTTAGTTAGGCGGTCATCAAAATATTTTTGCTCAAATTCTTGAAAAAATTAAAATTTTATAATATGATGTGCAGCAAGAACGCCACCTCAAACTAGGGGTATGATCTGCGCCTATCAAAAAAGTAACTATCAAAAATTGCTCCTGTCATATGATCAACTCACGTGATTAATACTTTCTTCGCTTGGTTTTTTTGAATAAGATTGGGATACTATGCAGTGCTGTAAGATAAGATAAAGTCAAAATTTTTTGATTTTTTCTTTTTTTTTTTTATATTAACGTTTATTTATTTATTTATCATATAATTTTTTAGACATATTTTCATATTAGTCATGAATATCTTTATTTGGGGACGGATGCACTGCAATGCAAGTCTACAGAAAAAAAAAACTTTGCTCTAAAACTTTAAAAAAATACAAGTATATAAAAAAAATAATGTGGGTACTTATTTTTGAATTACTGTATCATAATAAAAAATGAGTTGGTTACTATTTACGAAAGTGTACAAACTTTATTTCAATATATATACTTTAAAATTAAAAAAGACAAAGTAAAGAAATATGTACATAAAGAAAACGCTTAATGGAATTATCAGATATTGTAGATGAACGTATTGTTTATATTTACATGCCCTTTAAGACACGTAAAGCTCTTGTGGCCTTATATTCACTATTGTTCTGTTTATCATAATCATCGCAATCACACCCAGAGTCAATTTCATCTATGCCAGTTACAATCCTTCCAACATCGTCAAGTTTTCTTATAAAACTTGATCGTAACTTTGGAATGCTATCAAATACATTAAAATTTGATGATCGTCGTAGATGTTGAGCCAAAGTATCAATGGATGAATTCATATATTTCTCGCCCAGTACATTTGGTAAAGCTTTATCCTTATTTTTTGATAGAACATTTCCGATAATTCCTAGTACAATGATTCTTGTTTCTAAAACGATCCATCCAACACAAAATTCTGCCAAATTATCAATATCTTTGACAATTTCTCTAATCACAAAATCTTTGTCGTCTTCAGTAGTTTCCATTTCTTTATTTTTTCGTAAAGTTACATTATTAGCAACATTATTAGCATAATGAATAGAAGCTTCAAGTTTACCACAAATCAAGAGCGATCGAGAGAGTAAACCCATTGTAATAATTTGCTTATTCAAGTCATTATTATTATTATTTGATTCTTCCTTCAACTTGTTTAATAGTTTTACGCCAAGTTCATTTTTACCCTCAAAAAAAGCTTGGACAATACATCCAACCAATGCATACCAATGCATTGGGGATGCAGGTGTGGTAACACCAAAAAGTTCGTGAAAGGTAAATTTGGATTTCTTCTTTTGAACTTTATTAACGTCATGTCGTACGGAAATAAGATTGGAAAAGGCTTCCTTAATATGAAAGAGAGCTTGAATTTCGGAAACATAAACAAGTGGGATAGTTGTGTTGATCATGGGTTTAAGTGTTTCTTCATTTTTCGATAAATGAAAAATATGTTCACTGATCCTGTAAGCTACACTTTCTAAAATATCATTATTATTGTCGTTAATAAGTGCGATTTCAAGCCATTTTTCTTTAGAATTGGAACAAGTCTTCTTTTTAATAGCTAATTTCCAGAAATAAGGTACAGTTCTACGGGATAGAAAAGGTACTGAACGGAGACCAACATGACATTGTAATGCGGCATTTGCGTATATACGAGAAGGATCGATGCGCATGCTCTTATTATAAGTGTAAGGGCTTTCCAAAAGGTTAATTGTTCGAAGGCATGTGTATAAGACTGAAAGACAAGTTGCACGCTTGTTTCCTAAAAAAAATAATAAACGTTAAAAATTATAAATAATTTTATCATTACAGTATCAATAAATTATATTATAAATATAGATACTCACCACCACATAATTCTGCTTCACCAAGTCGGTTCCATAATTCAACTTCTAATACTCTTTCATCCATATCTACATCAGCATAACCAAAAGAAATTTCCCAGCCTAAAATCTTTCTTAAAAATAATCTTAAAGATTCGATAAAAAGACCAGCTACATAACCCAAAGCATTCATTGACGAAGTATTCGTAAGGGATGAAAGAGATGAGTAAAACTCTGTTACATCTTTTGTCTTGTTATTTAAACAAGAAAGGATGGAAGATTTGCGAGATCGATGTGATTTGAATGAAAGAAAAGATGGCCAGACGATATAAGTAAAACATATAAGAAATGTAAAGACCCTGGCAAAATACCTATTTTGAAAAAAAAAAGTAATATATAAGTTTTATATTGTAATATTAGAAAAAGGAATGAATATTTTATAAATATATGTATATACCAAATATCGATCGTTATGACAGAATTATAAATTTCATTTGTATTTGTTGATTTAGCAGTATCTAATGAATCATTATTGATAATAACACGTCCTTCATCATGATGATGATGATGGTGTGAAACTGCTGATTGAGCGTATTTCGATGGATCTGTAAAAAAATTCATACACATGAACAAAGCCAATAGTACTCTTGAACCACGGTTTCCAGAAGGAGTGAGTAATTTATTTTGATTCGAAGTAGTATCAGTATCAGTATCAGAGAGAGGAGGAGTACCCGGTGGAGTAGGTTTATCATTATTATTATTATTATTATTATTGTATAACTCGATACCGCCAGGAATAGCTTCAATAATTTTTTTTAGGAGCATATTTTCATTTTTAAACTTTTGGTTATTATTTTTTAAATACATAATGTATTCGGTTGCTTTTGTCAAAATAGTAGCTTTATTAGTTTTTGTTGCAGCTGGGATTCCATCTACTTCCTCGATTACGTCATCATCTTTGTTTTTCAAATGGCAAAGTGCAGGAACCACATTTTTTAATTCAATAATCCTATCATTAATGTTATTTCGATAACGACGTTCAATCACATTATGGGCAACTTTTTTTTGTTGTTTATTTGTTAACTTTTTCGAGTCTTTTTGTGGCCGAGAAGCCGAAATTAAAGTCGGAGATTCGAGACGAGATGCTGGTAACTTTGTACCAGAAGATATGTTTTCATCACATGGCATGGTTTCTTCTTCAGAATGACTATCTTGGACAGAGTCGATATCAGATGATTCAGTGGATCGATTCGCAGTATCAATCAAGGAAGCCAATATCATTTTAACAGTATCAATATCAATTGCAGAAGATTTTAAACGCAATTTTGATGTCAAAGAATTTTCATCAAATTTTTTATGATTGGCAGAAGAATTAAATTTTTTTGTAGACTTGCATTGTTTTGCAGATTTATCAGTTCCGTTTGTAGCTTTACGTTTCTTTTTTAAAGATTCATCGGAAGAATTCGAGTCACATTTAAAAGAAGCTCGTTTTCTACTATTTTCATACTGGTTTCCTAGAAGGTTAATATTAAACTCGGGGGGTAATAAGGTATCATATGTATTAAATGTATCATCCATTTGAGAAGAGTGATTATCAAAGTCGGCCAATACAGAGCTAGTTGGAGAAACATTCAAATCTTGAAAGATACTATAATTTAATGGAGAAAGAGCATCTGGAGTACTAATATCTTCAGCAGAGCTTTCACCAGAATTTGGTGAATGATATAAAGGCTCCAAAGAATTGAAATCATCAAGGTTAACGGAGTTTGGAGAGAATAAAGAAGTTTCTTGTGAATGGATAGAGTTTTGTCTAGAATTCAGTGAATATTGCAAAGACTCGGGACAAATATTATCAAGAGAGGTAGGATATAGCGGAGAACCTAGGGAAAGCATGTTTGAAGAGGGAGATGGATATTGAAATTCGTTTAATGACAAATTGCCAGATTGAAGAGACGAAGAGTCAATTGTATTATTATTATTATTTAAGAGCATTGCTTGAATTTGAGCTTCAAACTCAGATTGTGTAGAAGAAGGGTTATTATTAAAAGAAGCCAAAATATCATCAACGGAGGATTCACACATTAATAAATCTTGAAGGTCCGCAGACCCATTAATTAAAGAATCGGATTCACTCATTTTTGTTAATATCAAATATAATATTCTCTAAAGATAAAATTGAGGATATTTATAGGATAACATTAAAGAAGGATCTCTATTGTGCTAACGCTAAGCCAAAAAAAAAAAAAAGTGGCCTGATGTATTAATTTGAATGTGATTGGCCTGTATGTAACATATGTTAAAATTGTGGCCTGATTTTTTTTATACACAATGACTAATCGGTACATATCGAGACATGAAATGCAATTGGTGAAATTAGTGTGCAATTGAAGAATAACCGTATATAGCAATGAGCTAAATTGGCAAAAAAAACTCGCTACGGACGTACGTACATACTTACATTCATTATTATTTCATTGATTATTTACCGACGTATGATTAAGGCATTTTATTGTAAAGAATTATTTATAATTTGCTATGTATAATTCAATGAACATTAAAATTATTCAACAGTAGATTAATTTTTATAAATATTAACCTATGATTATTAAAATCATGCATTTTTAAGAGCTAAAAACAGTTTCTCTTTTTTTTCTAACAAAAAAAAAAAAACTTAAAAACGCAAAAATTAAAAATATAGTACATGAAATTTAAGGTATAAACACTTATATTCGGAGGGTCATCGCGATTTGATCCAAATCATATTTTTTCTTAGAGTGAATCACAAGCAAAAAAAATTGAGTTACAGTATTAGGGTTTTTCAAAAAAAACGTGAATTTCGCATTACATATAATTTTCATTTAATTTATGATTATAATTTACTCAGTACAATATGTTAATCAACTGAAAATTTTTTTTTATATTAAAAATTTGAGAATTTTCTCTGTGACATTCACAGGATTAATCAGAGTAAGATAATATTTTATTTAATATGGTTCGTTAATTAACTAAGTTTGGTTTCTTTGAACATGATATTATGTAACACTTAGATGTTTACAGTAGTATTGTTATCATTATTGGATAAGATGTAAATGTTTGTCAAATAACGATAAGTAGTGCAGCTATTTAATTTATATATATATAGATATCAATATACTTTATAAAAATAACGCCAAACTCTTAACTTCCCTTTTATCAGTTATTTTCAAATACCTTATCCGGCAGTTTACTACGATAGGCGCTTGCTGATTTATCATCTTTTTTTTTTTTTTTGGAGCTTAAAAAAAAAAAAAAAAAAAAAATGAAAGGAAAAAGTTTAAATCGATGACATAGATATACGAATATGAGAAAATAGTATAGTCGTCAATAACTGCTTCATAATAATACCGGGTGATTGGCTTAGCCCATGCCGCGAAGCGGCATGATCTGATTTTTTACAATATAACTATATATTATTTGGCAGTGATTACGCCATCTGCCAAATAACTTCGTATTTGGCAGTACTACCAAAAGCTCGGGTCATTTAGCACAATCGTCGTAAACACCGGATAAAACCGTTATTGTATGTTACGCAGCCAATAACTTGTTTATCTAATAGCGAATTCAATATGAGTCGTTTCTAGGCCCTTCGGGCCCAGAAGCTGACATATTAAATTTCACATCCAGAACATTCTCGTTATTAGCTGCTTTCGCATCCAAAACTATATATTATAATATACAATTTACTGATAAACCTAAGAAAAGAGCTTTGGAATAATATGATAAAAATAGTTAGTAATATTCTGATTCTATTTCTGCGTAAAGAATATTTAAATCTACTATCGTAATAATTTAAATTTATAATACGTTTGTTTCTGTAGATCTGAACTTATTGATTTTTTTAATAAAGTAGTAATCATAATAAATATTGTCTGTCGCTCCATGTCTACGCACGGTGATATAAAAAATTACGTTTTTGATGCATTTTACCAAAAATGGTTACTTTTTTTTAATAACATAATTTTGTCCGCACGCGTGTCGAATTTGTAATCTAGTGTAACAAAACCATATTTTATTCACTCGTTTGTGCAATATGATCATCATATAATATGATACATCAAATTTCAAATCTTTATTTGGATGTCTGCAAAAATTTGCGAAATTTGGATTTCGGCCGGCATTACGAATTAACTTTATAATTTAGGCCATGTCACATGACTAGTAATGATCCGTGCCAGGGACCCCATTTTGATTTGTAAAAAATTCATTCCGATTTGGTTAAAAATTCGAAATAAAATTTTTTTATATAACATTAACTACTAATGCGTTGTCAAGTCTATATATTTATTGAGCTCTTTATTGCTGCCGATTCTGTTCAAATTCCAGAATTTAAGAACTTTAGCCTAGTTTTGGGGTGTAGTAAAAATTTATATAATACATATAAATTTATATAATAAGAAGAATGGACTTCTAATTTTGAAGTCTGTGTGGTATGTATCTTTTTGGGATGTAACAGAACCAACAGGAATGTATATATTAATTTGAGTGCTTTAGATTTTTAAAACAATAATCAATATCACATGACCTTTAACCAGTCAAAATTAATATAAATCATATGATATATATGAACTTTTCCGGATTCCTGATCCGTGTCCCTGGTCTGTAGATCTGGTGTACTGATCACCCATGTCTAGTGATGTGCCGCGTACAGTACGGTACGTACTGTACGTACGTCGCTAAAATTTTTGCCGATCACTTGTTCCAGCCAATCAGATGCCAGAAAAAGAACTATACGTACAGTGCGTACCGGTACGTACTGTACGCTAAAATTTTTCAGGTAACATATAAATGGCACATCACTGCCCATGTCAGGGACCCGGAAAAGTTCACATACGGAGACGCCCACAGCAAAAGCAGGGGATAGGACTATATATTATATAGTCCTGCTTTTGCTATGGGCGTCCCATATATATGAATAAAATGGAATTTTGGGAATTTTAGAGCTGAGAATTATCACATGATTTATATTAATTTTGATTGGTTAAAAATCATGTGATATTGATTATATTGTGATGATTTTAAAATCTAATGCTAAATATTCATTTCCTAGTTTCTACTCTCAAACACTCAAATTAATATATACATTTCTGTGATATTGTTACATCCCAAAAGAACATGCCACACAAACTTCAAAATTAGAAGTCCATTATTCTTATTATATAGATTTAGAGTTTAATTTTTTTATGCACCTGCACTATAATGCATCCCCACTATATCAAAAAATTTTACTAGGTAACCCTGTTGTGTTAACTCTAACCCTAACCCTACCCTAACCCTAATTATTAGCAGGTGTACTATTAAAAGGGGTGCACTAAATTAATAAACCCAATAGTTATAACAGGGTGCACAATTGTGCAGGGGCATAAACAACATATATCCATAAATTTATATGTATTATATAAATTTACTACACCCCCAAAACTAGGCCGATATAAATTAAAGTTCTTAAATTCTGGAATTTGAACAGAATCGGCAGCAATAACTTTATCGGCAAATATACTGTATACTATTATTTAAATGATTATAAATGAACTCAATAAATATATAGAATTGACAATTGAACCCATCGCACTAGTAGTTAATAATAGTATATAAAATGAATTTTTTACAAATCAAAATGTGATTTTCCGGGTCCCTACCCATGGCTAATTATTCCACATGATCAAAAGGTGATTTTGGACCAATAAAAATATTTTTATTTGTGGATACTATATTGTTAAAACCTCAAAATTTGGATTTATTTGTTTTTGTGCAAATGTTTGGAAAATTTTGGAAAAATTCATTTCCAAAATTTTCTGTGGCCCCGCCTAGTACAGTAGTATATTGTCACGGGTGAAAAGTGACCTTTCTGAAAATCTTGGAGGCTTGGTTGGCGCATGAGGCTTGTCGGTCAAAGAATACTGTAAATATGAGTCAATAGAAATCAAGTTGAGTCATAACTACAGATAGTTCGAGTAAACATTAATTATCAATTTTATTGGTTGCTTTGGACTAACGTTTGATCAAATAGTTGAGTTCTTGTCACGCTTTGGACAATAAACCTGATTAAAGAATCATACACAAACCAATTTAAAATGATCTGTAAAACTTGAGTAAATTGTACAAATGATATCGGATCATAGGATAGAGCCTCTTATTCGTATACGTTATTTAAATAATATTCATATTTGGCGAATATTCAAATGATGGTTTAAACCTTTTAAATAATTACCTAAATGGCCATATAGACGACCCGGGTGTTACACTCCACCGGTTAAAAAACTTGAAATATATCCGGTATATTGTTTGAAGGGGTCTTTGCAGAAACCTTTGATTTTACTAAATATGTTTACTATATAAAGAATATAATTAAATTATTATCGAAATATTTCTATTCTGTAAAATTACTATTAACTCTCTTTTTATCATATTATTGATATTAGTAATTTTATTTAATTATTTTAAACAAATTGCTATTATATTATTAAAATATTATATTTATTAGATTGCTATTAGTTAGATAATTAAAAGATTATAGTTATATTATAAACATATGATATTAATAATGTTAATAGTGACTTAACAGAATTACCAAAATATTTTTAATAGCTATTCGGCACGAAGTGCCGAATAACTGAGGTATTTGCTGTATGCGATTTGATTGACCGATTTTAAACACCGAAGGTGCGGCCAGCCAAGCAGATCGCATTTGCAAATACCGGTAAGGTACCGTAGTGTTCTGATAGTAAAGCGCGATAGCGCTTTACTATATTAGAACGTTAGTATCATAGTTATGAGTACTTCGTGCTTGAATAACTGTTTTATCCGGCATTATTGAATTTTGCATTCGAAATTTTACAATTTTTATGCACGTGAGTTACACATCCGAATTATTTTAAATCCATACCGGATTTAAATATATCCGGACAACGTGTGTAACTCACGTGCATAAATGTACGTAAAATTTTAAAGGTGGTAAAGTAATAGGTAGATTTCTTGTTAAATAAGAAACTCCTGACTTAGACCGGGTGAATAAACAAGTATTATTCGAATATGTGCAATTTATCCGAATAAGTTACCAAATTCAAATAGGATCATCATATTCGATTATTATCCGCATT